TACACAGTACCCAGCTAGTCTATTAAACTATCAATAAGCTAGTGGCTGGATTTACAACAGAGCACACTTAGTTAAGATAGGGTGAAATCTAGCAAACTATAATATACAACAGAGTATGCTAGTCTCCCGGTCCCCCCGACCTAGCGAACAAAATTTACACCCTAGATACGCTAGTCAAGACAGGACACCGGTGTCCGACATGAGCTATTTACACCAGAACTCAGTCTGACCCAAACCACCTATATTAGACGGGCTGACTACAGAGCGTCTAATTTCCAGATAAGTGTTGCGCTTTTCACTTCTTCCTTCTACTGAAGGGGCCAATACCAATAACCGGTTCCAAATATAAAACCCCTTGTGGGTCTACCGCTCTAACGGTATCAATCTCACCTGTTAATTTCTGGACCTGGGTTCACTCATAGACGGAACAATCCGGGACTCACTGCGCAGAAGCCGATGATCTCCTGGACAAAAGGCCAGTGGCGCCGAGACGAAAGGAGGTCCACGCAGTAGAAGTCCAGGATTGTAGCGTAGAAGGTTTGGTAAAAGTTTACCGTCTCAAATCTCTGTGCCAGCTTCCGTGCGATGAGGTTCCCGGCCCAATTGCACCAGAAATGTTGCAGTGTAAGCATGCAGAAGCCAAACACAGAAATATTGGACACAGGTCTTCAGGAAGTAACAGGCCTTTATTCACATTACCGATCGGGTCTCAGATGAACTCCTGTTCCAAAGGATCTGAGAGACCAACACATAGTGTACATTCCTTATATAGCACTATAACTCCTCCCATTAATAGCTACACCCACATATACCTTTAACCAATCAATGAGCAGACTATAGACTTGTACATCTAGTCAAACCACATGGCTCATCCAAGACAAAGGAAATAAGTGCAATTTCAGTTCCTGCATTCCTGCACATGCTCAGTACACTGATGACAGTATCCTAGCTACATGTAGCTAACCAACTGACACAACATACACATATGCCACATGGAGATTTTGGCCTACTAAATTTTGACCATGCTGGAATCCCATCACAGAAGCAGTCAGGGCAAGACTGGCTTGGAGCACTGGGAGTGCAGATAGGAAAGCAGTCAGGGCAAGGCTGGCTTGGAGCACTGGGAGTGCAGAAAGCAAAGCAGTCAGGGCAAGGCTGGCTTGGAGCACTGGGAGTGCAGAAAGGAAAGCAACAGGTTAGATAGCAGAGCGTTGCTCTCTAATAAGGTTGGTGCAAGATTGTGTTTGGTTTCTATGAGTGGAAACAGAGAGCTGAAAACCCTGAAGCAGTAAGGCTGTTTATGTTTATGTTGTTTATGTTGGGAAATGGACAAGCCATCCAACCCAGTTAGCTGATTATTTTGTTTAGTTAGTGCTCAGAAGAGCAAGGCTTTTGTTTGATATATTTTTGTTACCTTTATACCTTACTGTGCATTTATTTTGGAACCTCAATAAAAGAGCAAGTCAGTTTACCTCATCCAGCGTGTGAAGTGTCTCTAAAGCCTGAAAAGACTGTGTGTAACACCCCAATCCCAGGACAAGGTACCAAGGGAAAGGAGTACTTTTGTCACACAGCTCACTAATATAAAGTGCTGGATGGGGCAATAAAGTGCAAATGCTAAAGTGCACAGTATAATAGAAAAGTGCAAAACACTTAGATACAAGATGGCAGTGCTAAAACAGCATCCAGTTGGTAACACATAAGCATAAACACAGCCCAAACGGTCCAAGATGAAAAATAGACAGTCAACACAAATCAGCACGAATAAACAGTATAGCCGCTGATACCACAGTCCAGGGTCCCAAAAGATACTCGATGCTCAACGCGTTTCGTCGCTAGACTTCCTCAGGAGCTTCTGTCATCTTCCTCCATCTTCTTCCTTTTTAAAGATTGTATCTGTATTGGGATCGATATGGTTTTACCTCATTGGAGAGGTGGAGATACGGAAAAAAGGCTAGCCATGAGAGAAACTGAGTGGATATATAAAATGAAATCTTCTGTTCCCTCAGGATTGAATACTGATTTGGATATATTAGCCTTTATAGATTGATCTAATGAGGATTTTTTTTTGGTCTCTTTTTTATGTTTTTTATGTATTTTATGTATATATGTATATACACCAGCTTTTATAGATTAATATAATGTGATTTTATTTTTGACCTCTTTACATTTTTTTATATATATATATATATAATCTCTTTTATAATGCCCCCATCTCTTATTATATGTTGCAATAAGCTATATACATCTGAGCATTGCTTTGTATTTGAATATTTCTGCTTTATGTATTTGTATTTTCACATCTACAGGCTTGAATTCATCCCTATTGACGTGAATATTATTTTGGATGATACTGCTCATACCCTGACACGATTGTTTATTATTTGTATAGCTGTATTGATATCATCATTTAGATGATTCACCACTGTAAGATCTCTGTATATTATAGTATGAAGGTTATTGTGGAAATATAAATGGACACACACCCTTTTTTTTCCCTTAATGTATACTTTTTTCTATAATTTTTATATACATATATTTCTTATTGTATATTTTTTATTTTTTATTCATGATTTTTATTTATTTAATTTTTGTATTACACACAATTTCTCCATATTGGCCTTCCTTTTGCCACCTGTCCTATTTATATTTTCCCCTCTGCTTGTTTAGTGTTCCTCTATTTAGGGGTTAGTAGGGGGGTAGGCAGGTACTGTAAACCCCGTCTGCATTAATACAGAGCGCTCTTTCCATAGATCGCTCTTAATGTGACTGTGTATATGAACAATAAAGTTTTTTTGCGTTCCGCCGTGGTTGCACATGCGCACGCTGGCCGCGTATGCGTCATGACGTATGACGTTATGCGCGGTAACGTGTGTGCGCAGTCGCGGCCGTCGGACGGACCGGCAGATTTAAAAGGAAGAAGATGGAGGAAGATGACAGAAGCTCCTGAGGAAGTCTAGCGACGAAACGCGTTGAGCATCGAGTATCTTTTGGGACCCTGGACTGTGGTATCAGCGGCTATACTGTTTATTCGTGCTGATTTGTGTTGACTGTCTATTTTTCATCTTGGACCGTTTGGGCTGTGTTTATGCTTATGTGTTACTAACTGGATGCTGTTTTAGCACTGCCATCTTGTATCTAAGTGTTTTGCACTTTTCTATTATACTGTGCACTTTAGCATTTGCACTTTATTGCCCCATCCAGCACTTTATATTAGTGAGCTGCTATACCTATGGGTTCCTGAGCATCTTATGTTTGAGCACTTTTATGTGCTGTTATTTTATATATTCTGTACCAATAAATTACTATTTTTTATCCAGTGATTGGGATATATTTAAGTATATGGTTCTTTCCTATACATATACCTATTTAGTGACTGTGGCGCCCTGTTAGTTTGTATATATCTGTAGACAGGAATTACTATCTGTAATTGGGTGGCTTTCCCACTTACCAATTTTCCCAAAAAAAGACATGGCTTTGCAATAAACACAATTGTTGTTCTCACTCTGCAGCAGGCTGCTCTCTTCTTTTAAAGGCATGTCTGCTAATTGACTAGCTACAGGTGAGTGCCAATTAGTAAACCCTTAAGTCAGATCCAAATTCTGGTCTGTTACACAGCAACTAGTACTGTTGGAGCATTGGCCCACTCTGCTCTTCAAATACTCCGCCCCAGGGACCCATACCATGTTTTGTAGAGCATCAGCTATGCATATTGCAAACTTTAACATCTCTCCCTGGGGCATTTAACTGAAAATTCTCTGGTTGCTGTTTAGCAAAACAGGCCTGATGTATCTTCCATCAACCACTATTCCACTTTTACGCTCACAATATATTCACTGGCATACATACATACACTGGTATACATACATACATACACTGGCATACATTCATACATACACTGGTATACATATATGCATACATAGATACACTGACATACTTACATACACTGGCATACACTGGCATACATACATGCATACACTGGCATACATACATACATACATTGGCATACATGCATACACACACACTGGCATACATACATACACACACACACTGGTATACTTACATACATACACTGGCATACATACATTGTGCAATTACAGCGCTGACCGGGCCCCTGAAGATAATAGGGCCCATTGGGTGGCCCTAAATGCTTGGGCCACCTGATGGGCTCCATCAGGGTGTGGGCCCCGGTGCAGATGCACCGGCGGCAGTTCCGCTGATAAACGTTGGGCCCAGGCGGCCGTGTCCCCCAGGGCTGCCGAGCCCATGACAACCATCATGGTTGTCACCCCCTGATGGCGGCCCTGTGCATCACTGTACAAAGTGTGTAAGTGTGTATCTGCGTGTGGCAGTACATACACCCCTGCATTCCAATACCAACACTGCACACAAATACACCCCTGCATTCATACGCTTACACAGCATACAAATACACCCCTGTCACCTCTCACGCACGGTCACCACTTCACCCTAAAAAACTCACATTAACTCCCTAAATCATGTTACAGTTACCTTCCATCGCTCTGCCAGCCTTACCCGATCACATTAACCCCCCTAATCCTGTCACTTACCTTCTCTTGCACTCTCACACTCACCCCCAACCCTGACACACTCATCCTCCTTAACTCACGCACACTCACCCTATCACATCAACCCCTCCAATTCTGTCATACTCATCCCCCCAACCATGCCATACTCACCTTGTCACATAAATCTCCCCTAATCATGTCACGCTCACCTCCTCTCTTCCCTTTCACACTCCCTCCTCCAGCCATGCCACATTCAACCCCAACCATGTAACACTTACCCCCCAACCATGTTATACCGCCCTGTTACACTCCCTCCCTCAACAATGTTACACTCCCTCCCACATCAATGTTACACTCACCCCGCAGCCCTGTCACACTCACTCTCACACTTACTGCTCAACAAGGTCTCATTCACCCCTCTGGCCCGGTCACACTCACCTTGCCACAGTTAACCCTTTACCCACCCTGTCACCTCCTGAAGACAATCATAATACACACACACAGTCATGAAACATAGCTTTGCCATAAACAAAATGAACAAAGGCCAAAGGCAGCCCCCATTACACAAACACACTGCAAGCAGTTACCCCACACACATACGGTCCCAGACACAAAAATACACATGGTCAAAGACATGTACATTCAAAACACAAGGATACTCACTGTAAAACACTTACAGTGGTATTTATTAATGGGCAGCTGACTGTGATATTTATAAATAGGCAAATTTGATGTTTGGTATTTTGTGTTTTGTTTTTTCCTTTTTGTGTGTGTGTGTGTGTGTTGGGGTGGAGAGCAGGGATGTGCATGTGCAAAAAATTTGGTTCAGGTCGGCACTTCCAAAATTCGGCACTTCGGTTCGACACTTCCGAAATTAGTGAATTTGGCAATTCCCTAACCCTAACCTTAACCCTATCCCTAACCCCTAGGGGTAGGGTTAGGGTTAGGGCTAAGGTTAGGTTTATACTCCTGTCATCATTCCCTTAACTTTCCCTCTCTCCTGTTTTGCTACTTTTCAGAAATCCGAAGGTCTTCAGCACTTCCGAAATTCGACACATCGGCAATTCAGGACTTTGGCAATTTGGCTCAGCACTTCCGAAATTCGGCACTTTGGAAATTCGGCAATTTGGACATTTGGAAGCATCCGAATGTCCAATTGCCGAAATTTGTCCGAATTTAAATTCGAACCAAAACAAATTGAACATGTCTAGTGGAGGCCATGATTGCACAATAGAGAGTGTTAGGGCATGGCCCAGGGGGCCAAGGCTAATGCTTGTCCAGGGTCCAATCAGTATTACACATGGCCCTGCCCTGAAAACAGCCCTGATAGGACAAACATTCACCTCTGATAAAGAAGTGAAGACAGCGGTGCATTCGTGGCTTGCAGCTCAGCCAACAACATTTTTTAATAAGGGAATACGAAAGCTTGTTGACAAAGTGTATTGGAAAAAGATTATGTCAAAAGATCATGTATTTGTCTTTTCTACAAGTTGAAAAGAATAAATACATTTTTACTTTTTGACTCACCCTCCTAATTTCAGACCCTTTGAATGGTTTTTTCAAATTACCAAACACAAAAGCGAGAAGGGCCCTTTCTTACATTCGTGTTCATTTTCCCAGTTTCCCAGTAGATACAGCCCCAAAAGCAGTAATTGGCTGAGAGTGTCCGCAGCAAGCTACAGATAAGGGTACAGCAGAAGTGAAGTCAGGCAGGCAATAGGTCAGGTCAAGCAGTACAGGTTCATAAACAGAAGACAAGGCAAAGATACCAGATAATCAGGACAGGTACAATGCAGCAACTGAGCATAGCAGGGATCACAGAATACTGAGCACAGGTATCAGATATGAGCAGGTTTAAATAAGAGAAAATGGACACACCTCCGTAGGTGTCCCAACTGCTTCCTGGGTACTATCCCTTTAAAAATCCACATGATCGGCGGGCGCACCTCTAGTCTGATGATTGTGCAGGATCATTAGGTTGGGGTGCCTTAATGATTAGGTGTGGCTTTTGCTTTTTTTGGTGCAGCATGGTCCAGCGTTTGGTAGCAAGAAACGATGAAGGTAAGGGTATGACATTCATAGAAACATAGAATGTGACGGCAGATAAGAACCATTCGGCCCATCTAGTCTGCCCAATTTTCTAAATACTTTCATTAGTCCCTAGTCTTATCTTATAGTTAGGATAGCCTTATGCCTATCCCACGCATGCTTAAACTCCTTTACTGTGTTAACCTCTACCACTTCATCTGGAAGGCTATTCCATGCATCCACTACCCTCTCAGTTAAGTAATACTTCCTGATATTATTTTTAAACCTTTGTCCCTCTAATTTAAGACTATGTCCTCTTGTTGTGGTAGTTTTTCTTCTTTTAAATATAGTCTCCTCTTTACTGTGTTGATTCCCTTTATATATTTAAATGTTTCTATCATATCCCCCCTGTCTCGTCTTTCCTCCAAGCTATACATGTTAAGATCCTTTAACCTTTCCTGGTAAGTTTTATCCTGCAATCCATGAACCAGTTTGGTAGCCCTTCTCTGAACCCTCTCTAAGGTATCAATATCCTTCTGAAGATACGGTCTCCAGTACTGTGTACAATACTCCAAGTGAGGTCTGTACAATGGCATGAGCACTTCCCTCTTTCTACTGCTAATACCTCTCCTATACAACCAAGCATTCTGCTAGCATTTCCTGCTGCTCTATTACATTGTCTGCCTACCTTTAAGTCATCAAAAATAATCACCCCTAAATCCCTTTCCTCATATGTTGAGGTTAGGACTCTATCAAATATTCTGTACTCTGCCCTTGGGTTTTTACGTCCAAGATGCATTATCTTGCACTTATCCACATTAAATGTCAGTTGCCACAATTCTGACCATTTTTCTAGTTTACCTAAATCATTTGCCATTTGGCTTATCCCTCCTGGAACATCAACCCTGTTACATATCTTAGTATCATCAGCAAAAAGACATACATTACCATCAAGACCTTCTGCAATATCACTAATAAAAATATTAAAGAGAATGGGTCCAAGTACAGATCCCTGAGGTACCCCACTGGTGACAAGTCCAAGCTTCGAATATATTCCATTAACTACAACCCTCTGTTGCCTGTCACTCAGCCACTGCCTTACCCATTCAACAATATTGGAATCCAAACTTAAAGATTGCAGTTTATTGATAAGCCTTCTATGTGCAACAGTGTCAAAAGCCTTACTGAAATCTAGGTAAGCAATGTCTACTGCACCACCCTGATCTATAATTTTAGTTACCCAATCAAAAAAATCAATAAGATTAGTTTGGCATGATCTCCCTGAAGTAAACCCATGTTGTCTCTGATCTTGAAATCCATGTGTTTTAGATGTTCATCAATCCTATCCTTTAACATGGTTTCCATCACTTTCCCCACTACTGAAGTAAGGCTTACTGGCCTATAGTTGCCCGACTCCTCCCTATTACTTCTCTTGTAAATGGGCACAACATTCGCTAACTTCCAATCTTCTGGGACTACTCCTGTTAACAATGATTGGTTAAATAAATCATAGTCATTAATCTCCCAGTTTATCAAAGGAGAATTGTCTGAAGTCCCTCACAGGTGTGTTTAGGTATGGGGAATGCAAGGCTGGTCCTTTTATTGGTCCAACAAAACAAGTTACTAGTACAGTGAATCACAAAACACAGAAGATTGCATTTTTTAAATCAATTGTTCAAGTACATTTCATGTATACTTAAAAACATGTTCCTGCCCAAGGACTATGGACCACATACAAAGACCCTGTTCGGGAGTTAAATCTCCTCAGCCACCATTTGCAGCTTTCCCTGATTCGGCACTTTCCCTTCATTCAAATGGAACCGAACATTGGTGGCTGTTCGCATGAAGAAACCCACAAATTGTCCTCCGCGGTACTTAGCTGCCATCGTTATAAAACTAAATTCAGCATGAGGACTTTGTGGATTCCCTGTCACCTCCGCGGCATTGGCCGCGAATGTTATGGAACCGTTTTCGTCATGAGGTGACCGTGCGGCTCTCGGACAACTTGGTGCATGGTTTTGAACGACTTTTAAATCCGCCAGGAGAGCGCTTTTTGTAGGGAAGGTGAAGAAACGCTACCCAAGACCCAGACGGAGCACCCCGTATTATAGCCACAGGAGCTCCCGAAGGTTGACCGGCCAAAGCACCAAACGCCCTGGAACCTTTTTGGGCATTGGACCAAGTGTGCGGCCGGTCAGAACCTTGACATGGTGGCATTTCCTCTACACTGCATGGATCTGAGCGCTATTTGGAGAACTTGGGCGCTCAGATCAGGGCTATTTAAGGATGTGATTTTTGTGGGGTTATTATATATTTTTATGATGTTTTAGGGCATTTTTATGTTTTATGCTTAGGTATTCTGACTCAGAAATTCATGGGTGTGTTGTGGGAGTGTTTTACTGTATCCTTGATGTGTGTATATAAGTGGGCCATCTGGTCATAATAAAGTCTTTGTGTACCCTTCATCAAGTCTAGGCTGATGTTTGGGTATACCAGAGCTATAATCACTGCTTCACTTGGGATTTAGGAGAACTACAGTGGATTTACTCACTCGCAGTATAGGGAATCCGTTACAATTGCAAACCAATATTTAACTGTTTTTACTTGCATTGACAGCTAACAATTTGGTATTACCAATTTCCATTTGTATTGTATTGTATTACCAGTAGAAATATATGTCCAGCTAACTCCTTCTACCTACTAAATCCGATAGTTACAGTTTGTAATACTTCTTTTGAGAAAATAGCGTATTTTTAAGGATGCTGTAGTTGTACCACCTTTGTGAGACTAACCCTGCCTATTCTACATGCCCCTTTGTTTCCTATTGGTCACATAATAACTGGTATCCGCCCCATTGATACACCTACGGAATCTGTAAACATTGCGAACCATAAAGAAACGCACTGACCTAAAAACTGACTCATAAACACAAACATTCATTGACACATACTGTCCCATACACGTAACACACTAACCCATTGCCTCACTGGTCAGTGCTGTTACTCAGTTCTACAGAGGCACAAAATCCTAAGATGCCATTGGCTCCCCCTTCGGCCCCCCAAAAGTATACAAAATATATAAGATAAAGCAAGTTTAATGTATTTATTAACAAGACATTGCAAGCATATAAAAAATCTAAATAAATACCAATACAAAAAAATTAGACGTGCTGTAGCTTTAAATATAATTTTCTATAATTCTTTACATTTGGTTTTTATGAGAGTGCTTTTAAGTCTAGGCACTTACTTGGGTTGTTGCTATTTTTGGTGATTTAAAATTGTATAGATAAAAATTAATCAGCACCATTTATTCATTTATTGGATCACTTTATAAAAAGAAATATCTTGAAAAAAAGTGTATTCAAATTTGATAACTGGATATGTATATACATATGTAAGTGCATATTTCTATTTGTAATGTAGTGTATTTTAATCTGTGAGTACAGTGAGTGTATGCAGCTGTGTAAATACATGCAGGATTAAAAATAATGTTTAAAGTAGTTTAAGAAGCAGGGGTTAAGGTTAGAGAGGGGTTAATCTAAGAGTTTGATTACATAGAGTGTTTAGTGGATTAAAAGCTTGATGGGGGGGGACTGACTCACCATGCACAGAAAATCCATTTAACCTGAGCTCCGAGCAAACAGCTGATTTTTAAAGGAACACTCTAGGGTTAGGAATACAAAGTTTTAATCATAACACAATAGAACACTCCCTTCCCTCCCCTCCTCTGTGATGTAAAAGGTTAAAAGAAACTTTAAAATACTTACCTGATACCGAACTGATGTCCCCCAGCGCTGGCTCATGCTCCACCTCTGCCGACCTCAGCCGATGGGGGAACCTGATGCTCATGTGTGGCGAGCGCCGCACACAGCAGGCCTTGAATCAGTGCTTTCCTGGGGTAATTGAAGACACTGGACCTCCTCATGCAAAGTGTGAGGGCATCCGGGGTTTTTTCAAACTCCATGATAGACAGCCAATAGAGGCAGTCTTAACACTGCCTCTAGTTTTACATTGCAGGGTTAAGGGAACAGAGACACTGCACGCGATCATTTCGATTAGATGAAGTGGCCTGCGTGCCTATAGTGTTCCTTTTCTAATATAGGGGCACCACAAACTTTTCAGACGCAGATGGTCAGATATCAATTACTCAGACAAACCTGGACAGGCTATTTGCAGATTTTTCACCAGAGTTTCACCAGCGAATGCAGACCTCCATACCTGCAAAGCAGATCAGTACTTTACCTCCACCTCTAAGTGTCTTACGTTCCTGGGGTGGTTGTACCCACAAGCACTCGTTAGAACTTCTCCATAATTCTGGCAACATGGGGATCTACCTCCCCTGGTGAAATGGAGAGTCCAGCTCCCATATCATTTTTACCTTCGGTTCGGGAGGTCACAGCTTTGGATCACTCTGGCAGTCAACAACTCCCCAGTGCTGTTGTGTTTCTGACAGTATGTGGGTTCCTGTCGGCATCTACCTATCACCAGACACCTGTTGCCACCTGAGCCTCCAGCCTTCCAGATGCCTGCTGCTTTGGGGGACTGTACTGAGTGCCCAAAGAGAGTCAACTGATTATGGTCTTATGACCAGGGCCTTCTGAGTGTCATATCTCTCTATCATATTTACTTTGGGTCACCTCACAGTAGTTTTATAACCCTGTTATGTTATTTGATTAGCATTGTAGTTCAGCATATATCTGCAGTTGCTAGCATCTTAATATACTAGACTAATATACTACCATATATCTAACTCTCTATCAGATAGCAAGGGAATGATAACATTACGAGTTTATCTGTACTTAACTCTTGCTTCTGGAAAGTTTTGCTACATATATATTGCTTGTGATATGTTTTTCCAATGTATACCTACACTCGTCACATTATATTATTCTTCATGTCTCATTAAAAAAATGTAAATACAAAAAAAAGCTTGATAGAGGTTATATTTTTGGTACAAGGGGTGCTTAGAATTATTGGATTTAGGATTAGAGTGGGGTTATAGTTTTGTACTGAGGTACATTGTGTGTTTAAATTGTAAGAGGAGTTTTTTCCAGTGCCTAAATTAGGAACCAAGGAAAGAGCTTGTTTAGGTTTTGGGGAGCAGTTAAGTTTAGGATTAGGGACAATTTGTGTATAGGGTACAAGGCAGGTGGAGTCTAAACTGTATTTGCAAAGTTGATAACTGCAGAAGCTGTTATACAGTGTGCATTGTTCAGTGCTGCATTTACTCCTCCTGCAAAGCCTTTCCGATGTGAGAGACTGTTAGTGGGCAGATGGTATATAAACCCTTTCTCTTCCTGTTCAGCATCACACAGACCCTGAATACACAGAACTTGGATACACAGACCCTGGAGGAGATAGGAAAATGCTGTTTTGCTCACCCTATTAATGTTCCTACAGCCCTGCTATCAAGCATATAAGGCTGTCTAGACATCAGGGGACACTGGCCTATTTATCTCCCCTCACCAGTCCACATCAGCTCCAAAAAGGTGCATTATAAGTGCCATAAATAGGCACCCTGTACAAGACAGTTACCAGCCCAATGGGAAATCTTACCCTGCTTGCACTCTTCACTTAGTTCACAGAACTAAAAGCCACTGGTATATATAACGTCACACCCTGGCAGTCTTCAGCTCTGTGCGCTAGGCAAAAATTCCTTGTCTTCTAACACTCCTTTCACCTTCTCCACCATGCAGCAGTCCAGTTTCCTTCTTTTTTTTTTTTTTTTTTAAGGTTTCACCCACAGCCACCTGCAGCTCCAAAATACACTGGCATACCTAACTATCACTGTGACCTTTACAACTTAACCCAAATTCAAGTTCAGGAACCCACTCATTAAACATACTCAAATTTCTTAAATAACTGGATGTATCATTTCACCTGATAACTGCACTCTGCATTTCCAAAATGTCTGGGTGCCTTAAACCCACCCATGAGCTTCAGAAATAGCTCTAGAACGATAGACTGATAACGTTTACAAATCAACTCTTCGACCAACAAGTCTAAATTTTTTAGAAGTGTATCTCTGTTAACCTGAAACTTGGGACTAATAGATGTAGAAATGGCCAATTTCCCCTAATGTTGGATGTGGTAAAACTTGCACATTATGTCTCATGTTAAATCCAAACACCATTAGTAAACATATCTTATTCCTGAATACCGGCTCTTATACAGCTGTCACCTTTCTCCTGGTTGTTGGGAGTTCACCTTTACTGTATGCACTGTGCACGCTTGTAGTATTGTTCTCCGGCTAGCATCCAGAATGGCCTCATGCTGGTCATCCTTCCTGAACAGTTCTGAGATTAGCCAGGTTTGTAATGCTGCCATGTAATGTACATGGGCTGTGTGCTGCTAAGTGCTGAATGCAGGGCTCATGGCTGCACATTAGCACTCTGTATGCTACCTATAGGCAGACTGAGATATATTGGTGCAATGACTTGCAATAGGCATTTTGCAGATGTGAGATCTGTGCCAGTCTTTAGGAAGGTTCTGCACTAGTGATGTCCCGAACGGTTCGCCGAACGGTCAAAGTTTACTCAATGATGAGTCCGTGGTGAACCGTTCGGGACATCACTATTCTGCACATGTAATGCATGATGGTGCATTGAATATATGAAATATGTCTGTAGGCAGCACCACGCCAACCCAGGCCACCCTACTCAATCAGACTAACATCCACACCATCCCCACAAAAGCAAACTGATGTGGTACAGCATTCATCGTGTGGTACCATGTGTGTGATTTGGTGGTGTGGCTGTTTTATGGGATATCCAGAGAGGCCCAGGGGGCAAATTCCCAGTCTGCCCCTGATATAAATGGCTTTAGAATCCCAAGATGGCATTATTTCCCCCATTACACAATTCATTGTTATGAATGTTTTTCTATTACGTAATATTTTTAAAATATGGTTAGTGAATTGTAGTTAGTGTTAGGGTTATTGGACTATAGAGAGTGTGTTAGGGTAGTGTAAAGTGGAGATGTTTACTGTGAAGGCAGCACTGCTATATAAACATATATGCCATATTTCAAGTCACAACAGTGCCCCCATACTACATTAATGTGATACCTGCATTATTCTCAGATCACTACCAGGAATATTTGCACAGGTGACGAGAGAGCGAGAGAGAGAGAGAGAGAATTTGTTTATGACTTTCCTGACCTGATGTTATGCAGTGAACAAGATCATTTACAGATGAGTCAGAGAAAGACATTTGCAGTGCGGATTCCCCCTTCCCCCACCCTGACATCATCACCTACACTCCTGAAGGAAGCCAATGGTCTGCAAACAGAGGGACTGTAGACTCCTGTTTTTCTGAGGGCAGTGGAATATCAGCTCACTACTCAGTTCTCATTTAATGGAAAAATATATACTGAGGAAGGGCTGAACACACCATGACACCAGGATTGGGTTTCACAGCTGTTCCCTGCTGCAGACCAAAAACAGTATCTCTGTAAACTAGTGCAACAGATGCGTGGAACACATCTTAAGCAGACAATCAATAATATATTTTTTAGCATGGAGGCATTGGTTCAATTTCATTTCAAATTCAAATCTGGACCATACAGTTACACTTACTTTCCTCTCAGTTCTAGCACTAGTATGTTCCAGGAGAAGACAGACATTTCCAAGTCTAAGTCCAAGTATTTCAATGTAAACGATACCATATAAAATCTAAACATATTTAACCTTCCACTATTTCTGTAAAGGATGAGAGAATAAATGAAATCTTTAAACGGTGTAAATTTACATAACTTACATTTTAGGTATCCCTAAGGAACAACTTTTAACTCTATGCGCTAAATAAGCATACCAGTTTTCAAATAAATAGGTGACTACTGCATTTGAGTGCATTAATAGCAAGATACAGTGGTTATTTAAGTCAATGGGTTTGCTCAGTTTTCGTGTAAAGCATGAGGCAGACTACATTGCAGGAAATAATTAGCTTCTGATAATGAAGACATACATACATCCCTGAAAATCGTGGATATTGGGTAACACTCATCATTCTAAGGGGTTAACAATCCAAGTTCCAGGAAGTGAACCAGGAATCCAAACACCATTAGTAAACATATCTTATTCCTGAATACCGGGAATTGGACATCCCAAACGTGTCCACAGGCGATTACCATTTGAGTCATATGAGATGTATGGCTCTTGATGTGTGAGTGATATTCCATATATTTATATACTACACTTTACTTGTTACAACAATATTGCATTATTGTTTTGCATTCTTATGATTACAGATTTATATGAAATTTAAGAAGCTCCACCTTATGTATGGTCTTTTGTATTTTATAGAAGTGGTTTAGGGGATTCCACTTAAGGCTTTGAGCTGAATCATTATTGGTTTCCTCCATATTGTACACTTATTTGTTAGCGTGTGATAATGCCCTGAAGTATGCATGGCCTATATCTAGTTAAAATATCACACACAAAAAACCTCCATATTAGGGTCACCATTTACTAGAATGGCCAGTGATTGGTCTTTAGTTCAAGCAAGAACAGGGGGGCTAGCATTGCACTATTAAGAGGAAAGGACAAAGTAAAGTACATAGTGATGTTACAAGGAGTTCTACATAGAAGGCAAAGGAGTTCCAGATATACCCACATTGCTGAAGGCCTTCTTGGAGAGACACTAATGGAGCTCTGCTAGGAATTCCCGATTTTTCTTTTTGCCCCTCTGCAGGGGACTTGGCTGGGACAAGTACGACAGCTATATCCCCTACAACTGGATTATGTCATGATATTACCTGGATGTGAGAAAGTTTATTAAGGAATGCCACCTAGAGGGCTTTAAGCCATAAATGACCCCCAAGGCAATGTCATAAACACATAAGCATTCAGGTTGTCTCAGATGAGGCTATATTCTGGCTCCTGGCTGCTACACAGAGACTACGTGGAGAGATGTTACATCAAGCAGGTCAATAGACATAAAGACCTGGCATTGATAACCATTCAAGGAGGCCTTCACCTGTATTCATGCCAGGGGGCTGTACAGATACAGTGTGTCTTGGAGGAGGAGCCTTCTCTTTATTTGTTTTGCAGTGTTTGCTCAGGATTTACTCACAGCCTTGGAAAGTTAACTCACTGACGCAGTAGGCAGTAAGTACATGTTTTACTACTCTCACAGTGAGCACAATTTAAAAAGCGTGCCGCCAAATCTCCCATATGAAATATGCTTTGTGGTTTGCCAAAAAGAGATGGCAGGTCACAATCTAAGACTGCGAAAGACTGATTCATAGCATGCTGAAAGCACATGCCATCATTGATAATCTTGGTGAAGAGTTATTCACTAGTGAGAATTTAAAGTGTAGTCAAAGTGAATTTCAAATTTGGTAGGGTTAGAGTTAGTGTTGGGTGTTGGCTATCTAGGGTTAGCTGTAAGGTTAGTGTTGGGTTAATGCTGGGTTTGTGTTAAT